GTGGAAAAGTATCCGTGCTAATCTAGACGCGCTTTTCTGCCAAAAAGCCCCGATTGCCAATTTCGCCATCGAGGCTTTTTTGCGGAAAACAAATCTGAGCTGTCTACACTGGCCCTTTGCGCAAAAGTTTTGTGCAAAAGGACTTTTGCCCGAACGGGAGCAGCATAGTATTTCCGCAAAAGCACTGACAATCGTACATGAGATCGTCAGTGCTTTTACGGAAATTCAGGCAGCCTGTGTAGACAGCAGGCAAGTTTTTCTGGAAAAGCAGTTGATTTTCTGAAAAAACTCGCCAGTCTAGACACAGCCCTTGTGCAAGATGTTTTTCCACACGAACCCGCCAGTGTAGACATAGCCTGAGAGTGTTCAAGTTACAAGTAGCTGATAAAAGAGGTGCAAATTGTTCTGAAGTACCCAGTGGTGGGCTGGTTAAGTCACTGGGATGGGGAAGGCAGTGTGCTAGCCAGGCAATGTCTTTAGTCAGACCTTTGTGCTAGGTCCCAAACTTGTGAATGAAGTTAAGTTCCAACCTTTCCCTCAGTATTTGGCTTGTGGAATTGGCCTGAAACAGCAGGCTGACTTGGAGATCCATGGATGAGTGCCCAGGCAGGATAAAGCTTTCAATGTGCTCGAGTTGTCTGAGGGGGCCATCAAGCATGCGGACAAGGGGGATCCAATGGATAGAGTATGCTTAGATTTCCAGAAAGCCTTTGACAAGGTCCCTCACCAAAGGTTCTTGAGCAAAATAGGAGTCATGGGTTAAGAGGGAACGTCTCCTCATGAATCAGTAACTGATTAAAAGACAGAAAACAAAGGGTGGGAGAAAATGGTCAGTTTTCATAATGGAGAGAGGCAGCTAGTGGTGTCCTGCAGGAATCTGTGCTGAACCCATCCTAGTCAACCTATTCATAAATGATCTGGAGAAAGGGGTAAACAGGGAGGTGGCAAAATTTGCAGATTAAAGATACCTTGCGGTCATTGTGGATAGATCTCTGAAAACATCCTCTCCATGGTCAGCGGCAGTCAAAAAATAATAGAATCATAGACGATGACTAGCTTGGACATTTGGAAAAGATTCCTGCCTGTCAAGGTGGTTAAACACTGGGATACGTTGCTGAGGGAGGTTGTGGAGTCTCCATCCCTGGAGATATTGAAGAACAGGTTGGACAGACACCTGCCGGGGATGGTTTAGACAGTGGTTGGTCCTGCTGTCAAGGCAGGGGACTGGACTTGATGGCCTCTTGAGACCCCTTGAGGTTCTAGTGTTCCAGGATTCCATGATTCTATGATTCCCTCCCTCTGCCCACTGAAGGGAGAAGTCTGCCACCTCTGTCTGTCTGTCTGAGTGTCTGTTAGTTCCCCAGCCAAGGGACAGCCACTCCTCCCCAGCTGCACCCACTACCGCTATGTGGCCATGGAGATACGCTTCTCACCTGACCCCATGCTGCTGCAGTGAGAGGGCTGGGGTTATCCTCTCTCCCCAGGGTGGCCTGCACCTTGAACCCCTCCTCCTGATCCCCCGCCCCCCAGAGCACTGATTGAAAGCAGTGGCTCCCAACCTTTTTGAACCCACTATAAGAATCCTGTGAATACCCACAGAGTCCTTGTAAGTTTGGCAGACGAGTTTCCTAGGGCTTGGTTGTTCCAGGACAATGGGATGTGCCTGGAATTTGATTGGTTCTCATAAAATGGAAAGGGAGGGGCTTGCAAGCAGGGACAATTAGGGCATGTCTACACAACAGTCCTCTTTCGAGAGAGGAATGCACATGTAGGCATCTGAAATTGCAAATGAAGTGGGGATTTAAATATCCCACGCTTCATTTGCATAATCGCAGACTACTATTTCAAAATAACAGACGCTGTTAAGTCATGATTATTTCAAGAGAAAACCCTTCTTCTGAAATAAACCTTAAATATCATATTATGAGGACTACGGGTATGTCTGCACTACCACTCTAGTTCCTCATTGCAGGAGGAGTAACGGTAGTTCGAAATAGGAGTTTTAATTTGAACTACCTAGCCCGTGCCGCGTGTAGCCACGGGTAGGTAGTTCGAACTACGGGGCATTTAAAAACGGCGGTAGCCGGGAACATGCAAATGAAGCCTGGGATATTTTAATCCCGGGCTTCATTTGTAAGTTCGAATGCCTACATTAGCCACCCTACTTCGAACTAGGGTGGCAGTGTAGACATATCCTAAGGGTTAATTTGGAAGAAAGGTTTTCTCTCAAAATAACCTCATTTTAACAGCATCTTTGATTTTGAAATAAGGTATTTTGAAATAGCAGCCATCTGTGATTACGCAAATAAAGCGCGGGATATTTAAATCCCCACTTCATTTGCAATTTCGGATGTCTACAGTTGCATTCCTCTCTCGAAAGAGGAATGAAGTGTAGACATGCCATCTATTGCAAAATGACCCCAGGGTGGCAGCAGGAGCCAGAGGTGGGGACAGGGACCCAGAGCTATAACTCCATTGGGCCAGCAGGGGGCAGGGTGGAGAAAGGATCAGCTCTCTACTATATAGTATTAGAATCCCAGGAGAGACCTCAGGAGGTATCAGATCCAGCCCCAGCCCAAAGCAGGACCAATCCCCACTAAATCAACCCAGCCAGGGCTTTGTCCAAATGGGACTTAAACACCCCTAGGGATGGAGACTCCACCCCCTCCCTAGGGAACCCAGCCCAGCACTTCCCCACCCGCCTAGGGAAATAGTTTTTCCTAATCTCCAACCTAGACCCCCCCCACTGAAACATGAGCCCATTGCTCCTTGTTCTGCCACCTGCCCCCACTGAGAACAGCCTCTCGCCAGCCTCTTTGGAACCCCCCTTCAGGAAATTTGTGTCCTAGGAAAGGGCACTGTGGGTGGGAAGAGGGCATGCTGAGGCAGGAGTGCTGATTCTGAGAGTGACCAAGCAGAGGAAACTGACGGGTGGCTGCCCTTGACAGCTCTCCAGAGAGATAATCCCTTTATTTGCCTTCAAGTGACTCTTGTGCTTCGAGTTGTGAGACTTGACTACTTAGAGCCCCACATCTCTCCATTGCTCCCCTTCCTTGAGTGCTTCATTAACTCTCCTCCCCATGGTTTCCTGGTTTCTGTTTTAAGCCCCTGGGACAGTCAGCTTGAAAGCAAGCCAATGCCCATTCCGGCTCTCAGCTGGTTTGGGCGATTGTGTATCGTTACGCTGAATAGGGTAGGGACTGCGCCATGTGTGAGTGCTTGTGTCCAAGCGTACATCTGCTGCTCCCTGATCTGCAAAGAGCTTTCATTAGGAAATGAATGATGTAATAAACCAAGTCTTCCTATGCCACCGAGTGCCTGAGTGACTTTGGGAACATCACTTAATCTCACTCTGCCTCAATTCACCATCCGCACTGTGGAACCCTAACCCTTTGTTTCTATTTGTTGCCTGGCACATTGCAGGGCTCAGATCTCGCTCGAGGCCTGGGCAGTGTCCTGCAGAACAGGGGGCCCACATCTCAGCCAGGGTCTTTGAAGGGTTTGGGAGAGCCAGGCCCTGATGTTAATCACGGCATGGGCAGTGCCTTGAACAGGGGGCCTCAATCGATATCAGTGGGGTCTGTGCAATTCCATACACAGGGGACGCTGATGTTGGCTCAGGTGTGTTGTGAGGAGAAAAGTCTGAGGCGCTCATGGAGTTGGCAGTGGGGCAGTGCAGGGGGCACAGCTGGATGGGGGTGTGACACAAGGAGCCCCAGAGGGGATGGTAAAGGGGGAGGGTCCAAAGCCGGAGCTGTAGCACTTAGCGAAACACAGTTACGGCGAAGTCTTCAGGGCTTTGTGGCTGAGGGGAACAGCCAGTCAGAGGGGACTTGACCCCAGGAAGGCAGGCCAGGTGGGGCCGGGAGGGGCCTGTCTCTACGGCAGGGGCAGGGAAGGCTGCAGGCCACTGTGGAACTGTGGGTGTTTCCCGCTGTGGTGGGAGAGGATGGGGTATGTCTCCTCCTGTGCAGGGGTCTCTGCCCTTGGCGTGCTGCTGTGGCGGGGGACGAGGGTGTCTCTTTGGTTAGTGTCCTCCTCGGAGTAGTTTCCGCCATTAGCAACGGGAGTCAGAAGTCCCCCCCCATCCCGTCCTAAACCTGGAGTCCACCCCCCACTCTGTGGAGAGTTTGCAGGATGTCGGGCAGGGGGTGCTGAAGGGGAAGCCTGGACTCTCCCCACACAGCGTGCAGGCGGCGAGGGAATAGCTGGAGGGGGGAGCAGCCCCCTACCCGGAATAGCGAGTCATTTCGAAATGTATGAAATAAGCCATTTCGAAATACGATCGGCATAAGATAATGCACTTTGCCTAGCTCCACCGGTGTCTCTTATTTCTGCCCACGGCGCAGCGTAGACGCACCCTCAGAGCTGATCAGCCTGAAGCTGGAAACGTCGTGTGGCCACCAAATTTTTCATCCTGATTCTTTGTGACAGCTTTGCTGTTTCTGGATTTATCCAGCCCCCTTTCCCAAGGTGTAAACATTCGACCCAACGGCCTAGCCGGCGGGACTGGAGACCAAGCAGGATCTTATTCATGCCCCTTTATTTGTGGGTTCCCAAGAGCAACCGAGCTGAGACGCAGCGTGTCAGACTGAAGTCGACAGCAGTTTGCCGAGGGATAAATGCACCTCTCCAAGGCTCGGGACGACAGTCAAACCACAGGCCAGGGGCGCCTGAAGCGGTGTGGGCTGAGCAAATCAACAGCAACAGGTTGCTATGTAGCAGCACGTGAACCAACCATCACTAGAGTCCAGTGCTCTGTGATCACAGCCCCGGCCCTGCAGGTCAGTCTGCACGAGGGCCTTGGTCCCCAGACAAAACTCCACTTCGGGGCAATGTAGCTGGGGTTAAGGATAAGGGTTGGGGGAGGCTCGCCCAATCTGACTAGAAGGCTCTAGGTTTGCCCTCCAGCCGGGTCACAGAGGTTGAGAGCGGTAGAGCACTGTGTCCGGAGGCGGATCTGGGGAGCCGCAGCAATCACACTTACGCTGTGGGTGGTACCAACATCAAACCATTTTTATTTTAATTGGTGTTAAAATTGCAAACAGTACGAAGCCCATGGCAATGATCGTGCAAATGCATTTGAATACCCCGGATGGTAGCCCTCATGGAGCCTGAGCAAGCAACTGGAATTAGCTAATAGCATACAGTGAGAGTTACCTAGTATAGGACCATACACACATCCACCTTCTTAGGAGACCCCGGGTGTTGGGTGGACCAGCCGCCCTCTGCCCGTGGAATAAGGGTCTCGGTGAAAGGGTGATGTGATCGCAGAGTATGGCACCAGAGACACCCGAAATGGAACTGGGGGTGTGGCAGCTCATCCTGGGAAACTGGGGAGAATCTCTGACTGGGGACATTTTTATTGGTTGTTCTCTGCTCCTTCCAAAGCCTTTTTCAGGACTCGTTCAGCATCTGCTGCAACTTCATTCAAAAACACCTGGAGCATGGCATATGTGACTTCGTAAGAATTTTGTGCTGCTATTATGGTACCAATCAGCGGTATCAGGCAGAGCAGACTTTTAGCTACCATCCCTTCTACCCCAGTAGCCTCTTTGAGCCTCTTCAAAGCCTCCTCTCTGGTTATATTTTTGACCATTGCAGACTGTATCACAGACTTCAGCTCATCAATGGACTTCCCAAACTGCTTAGCAAGTGAAGTGAGGGAATCGTCGTCCAGGCCAAAGGCCTTGCAATACTCGGTCATGCTCGCCACCAAGATGTCGACATCGCATGCAATCGAGAGACCCGGCACCGGAACAGCAGCGACAGCAGATGATTTCAGGGCTTGTTTCCAGATCTGTTCCTCCAGGGCCTTCTTTTTCACTTTCAAGATTGGTTCACAGGTACTGGGCAGGGCACAGAGGAGAACATGTCTCTTGTGAGTATCCAGTTCCGACAAAAATGTCTCCTGCAGTTGGGGAGAATCATACTTGTCAAAGTCCCATCTCGACACCAGGAAAACCTGTGGGGAGCTCACACCTAGGTCTTCCAGCTTCTTCACACAGTCACCTCTGATTGTCTGCAGAGTCTTCTCTTTGTTGAAATTCCGTTTTTTTCCTTCATTGAACAAATCTACATCCACTTTGCTACGGACAAAGTAGAACTTCTTCTCCCTCCTCTGGATCTGCAAGGCAATCATAGCATCCGATTCTGTGAAGCGCCCAGCTGTGATGATGATGAAGAAATTGTAGTTATCAAACTTGATGTCGTCCAGGTATGATTCTTTTGGATACTTCTGTGTTCCAACCCCAGGGAGGTCCCACAGAGTCACTTTTGGGTGCTTGGGATGGGGGTAAGGAGTTGGCTCTGTAGTTGTTTCTGTAACCCCAGTCTTGGCTGCACCATTGTCATCGTCATTCAGGCTTCTCATGGCATTGATGAAAGACGACTTCCCAGTGCCTGTGTCCCCTATGACACCAATGTTCAGTTGGGTTTTTTTTAACAGCTCATCAGACTTCTTCACCACACCTACGGCTTTGGCAAGGCTCCCAGTTTTCACTGCAGCACAAAATTCTTCCGTTTCCTCCTCAGACAGACCAGGCAATTTGCTGCCCCAATGGGAAAATAATTCAGCCCAGGGAGTTTTTGTATTTTCCGCCATCCTGGGAAAAGAAACACAAACTCCAGTCAGGGTTAGGGGCTCCCCTCCATGGGCTCTTTACTAACCCACAATCAGTAGAGCCAGGGACACAGGTAGCAGGGACCCCTAGTTTACATAATCTGACCTGCTCTATGTCCAGGTGATTCACAATCGCCACCCCCACACACTAATCCTGGGGCCAAAGGGAGAGCAAAGTGTTATCACCCTCAGGAGACTGAACTACTGTGTGCTTCAGGAAGAGAACTGGCTGCACTGAGCTGCACTAGGGCTTCCGGGCCCTTGTACTGATAAGGAACTTATTAAAAAGTGGGAACTACGTCAAATTACAAAGGATGGCTATAAGCAAATAATACACGGATGCAGGGACAGGAGTAAAAAGGCAAAGGCACAAAATGAGCTAGAAGCATAAAAGGTAACAAGAAGACATTCTACAAATATATTAGAAGCAAGAGGAAGACCAAGGACAGGGTAGGCCCATTCCTTAGGGAAGAGGGAGAAACAAGAACAGGAAACTTGGAAATGGCGGAGGTGCTTAATGACTCTGTTTTGGTTTTCAGAAGTTTGATGGTGATGGGATGCCTAATATAGTGAATGCTAGAGGAAATGGGGAAGCTAAAATAGGAAAAGAACAAGTTTAAAAAAATTAGGAACAGTTAGATGTCTGCAAGTCACGAGGACCTGATGAAATACATCCTAGAATACTCAAGGAGATGACAGAGGAGGTATCTGAGCCTTCAGCTATCATCTTTGAAAAGTCATGGAAGTCGGAAGAGATTCCAGAAGACTCAAAAAGAGCAAATCTAGTGCCCATCTAAAAAAAAGGGAAATACGAACAATCCAGGAAACTACAGACCAGTCAGTTTAACTTCTGTGCCAGGGAAGATAATGGAGCAAATAATGAAGGAATTCATCTGCAAACCCCTGGTAGATAATAAGGTGCGAAGGAACAGCCAGCATGGATTTGTAAAGAACAAATCATGTCAAACCAATCTGAGAGCTTTCTGTAATCAGATAACAAGCCTTATGAATAAGGGAGAAGCGGTGGACGTGGTATACTGAGACTTTAGGAAGGCATGTGATACTGTCTCACGTGATCTTCTTATCAATAAACTAGGGAAATACAACCTACCTGGGGTTACTATAAGGTGGGTGAATAACTGGCTGGAGAACTGTTCTCAGGGTATGTCTACACTACAGCACTAATTCGAACTAACTTAGTTCCAATTAGTTAATTCGAACTAAGCTAATTCAAACTAACGCATCCAGACTAAAAAACTAGTTTGAATTAGCGTTTTGCTAATTCGAACTAGCATGTCCACATTAAGGGGACCCTGAACCGGGCTTAAGGATGGCCGGAAGCAGTGCCAGCAGGGCATCAGAGTAGGACTTTGAGCGTGGAGCTGCTGTCTCAGGCTAGCCGAGGGCTGTGCTTAAAGGGACCCGACCTCCACCCCGGACAGACATTTCTCAGGGGTTCCCCGCTTGCAAAGCAGTCTTGGAGTGCCCTGAGTGCCCACACTCGGCACATCACAGCACTCGGCCATCAGTCCAGCTGCACTTGCCGCAGGCTGCCATCTGGGGAGAGAGGGCAATTGGGGGGCTGCAGGAGAGCTTCCACCCCAAAAGCCCGCAGAGCCAGCCCAGTCCTCCCCATCAGGGGCTCGTGCCCCATTCCTCCCTCACCTCCTTCCACTTGCCCCTCCCTAGCCCCCCTTCCTGATGTACAAAATAAAGAAAACGTGTGGTCAAAAAAAGAATCTCTCTTTATTGAACAAAACTCGGGGAGACTGGGAAAAGGAGGTGGGAGAGGGGAAGAGAGGGGGGGAGAGGGGAGGGCAACTAAAATGATCAGAGGTTTGAAACAGGTCCCATATGAAGAGAGGCTAAAGAGACTGGGACTTTTCAGCTTAGAAAAGAGGAGACTGAGGGGGGATAGGATAGAGGTCTATAAAAGCATGAGTGGGGTGGAGAGGGTGCATAAAGAAAAGTTCTTCATTAGTTCCCATAATAGAAGAACTAAAGGACACCAAATGAAAGGAATAGGTAGCAGGCTTCAAACTAATAACAGAAAGTTGTTCTTCACAAACCAAATAGTCAACCTGTGGAACTCCTTGCTGCAGGAGGCTGTGAAGGCTAGAACTAGAACAGAGTTTAAAGAGAAGTGAGATAAAGTCATGGAGGTTGGGTCCATGGAGTGGTATTAGCCAGGGGGTAGGAGTGGTGTCCCTGCCCAAAGTTTGTGGAAGGCTGGAGAGGGATGGCACGAGACAAATGGCTATGTCACTGTCTTCGGTCCATCCCCTCCAAGGTCCCTAGGGTTGGCCACTCTCGGCAGACAGGCTACTGGGCTAGATGGACCTTTGGTCTGACCCAGTA